TATTGATACAGCAATGCAATGTATCCTTGACGAAGAGTGCGACCCCTCCCCCCCCTTCCTACCTTCCCTGTTCTTGTGAAAAAGGTTGTACCCTTCTATGTGATACTTTGATAAAATGTTCTTGCTCGCCAGATTCGTCAACTTTCGGTGAGTGCTATAACGTCTACATTCTCGGTACATACAACCGCTCTCAGCAAGTTTATTTTATTTCTAACGCTTCTACTGTTTGTATAGTATACATTTAAACCTACCCTTCCTTGGTCCTGTTTTACCCCTTGTCTTGAGTGACCAATTTTACTCCCCAGGACCTGCTTGTTTTATGAGTCCCACTTACCCTGACCTCTCGCTACTGGCGAAACCCTCCCCTTTGGAGTGACAATTTCCATCTCCAGGGAAACAGACAACGTGATTACCCCCTTTCGAGACAAGTATACTCTGTCACGACTGTACAGGTAGTCGTTGCCATTGAACGGTCGCCAGTTATCAATGAATGCCCAATCATTGATTGCACAATGTTTTTCCATCAACTCCTCTTCTAGACAAGACACCATATGCTATCGGGATCCCTTCCCTAGCGCCTCCTCATACCTCCTGAAAAGTTCCTCACTCCTAACCTTTCCTATGTCGTTACCTCCTACACTAAGACACACTACTGAATTGGTACCCTCTCCTGACAAAACCCAATACATCCTCTCAGCTACATGTCGTATCCCAGCCCCAGGAAAACACACCCTAGTCCGACGTTTCCTATCTCTTTCACAAAAAGTCCTATCTAAGAATCTCACCTGGCTGTCCCCAGCTACCACGAGCTCACCACACCGCCCTGCCCCCTCTCTTCCTCGCCAGCTTCCTCTAACACTTGGTAGGGGTTGCTGCACTCTACACCCTGGTTAGCTTTCCTGAGTCTGACCTTAGTCCCCTTGGAGACAACCACTCTCCACCCTTGCTCCTACTGACCCTCCTCTGTAGGTGTCATGCTAGGCAGAACACACACCTGAAGGAGTTCAGTCTTGTGGGCTTCGTTCTCCTCCTTTAAAATGTCCACCTCTCTCCGCAACTGCTCCAGCTGACTTAACAGAGTGGCTGGAGTCGTCTCTCCCCACACACCGTCCCTCTTCCCCCACAACACAACGGCCCATGGTGGCCATTTTCTATGGTCACCAACACGAGCACACAGAGGCACGTCCTTCTCCAAGCTAAGTCAGGTCGGTACCTAATGGAACAATGTATCTAATTGGTCCCTCTTTTAATGGAACCATGTATTCAATAAGCCCCAGACCTAATGGAACCCTGTATTTAATAGGCCCCAGAACAGATGCAACCCTTTATCTTTTGGGCCACAAACCTAACATATAACATCATCCATCATCACTACATAATACATATAGCACCACCCATCATCACTACATATAACACCATCCATCATCACTACAGATCAGTAAAGTAGTTTCCGAGATTCTAGTGCGGACACACAAACAAACATAGCCACCCACAAACAGACATACTTCTTTGTTTTATATATATATAGATTAAACAATTTGGCTTTCATCACGGGAACTATTGTAATGAGGCAATCAGAGCTGTCGGTCACAAGTGCATACCTGTTGTTGTGTGTTTGTTTATGGCAGCAGGGTACCAGCTTACCTGACGTGATGTTTGGGGAGTAAGGGGGGTGGTGAGGGGAGAAAGGCTAATATAAGGGGAGGGAAGGTGAGGGGAGGGAGGTAGGCTGAGGGGAGGGAGGTAGGCTATGGAGAGGGAGGGAGGCTGAGGCGAGGGAGAAGGGGAGGGATGGGTCTGTGAAATGTAACTATATTTACTGTTATAATTTTCTATTAACTCACATTGTTGTAGTGTTTAGTGTCATTTTAATATAAACATATGACTTGGTAACACTGGCGGTGGTGAGTCAGACAACAGAGCTTCACTATCATAGGAAACTGGGTCACATAGGACTGGCAATCAGTTAAGGGCAAGCTGGATATATCACACTGTACACTGAACATTTTTTTACCGTTACATAAGGAGACAGTGTGACTAGAATTGTACTCAGTGCTGTGTTAGTGAGCTCAGTGCTGTGTTAGTGCTCAGTGTGGTGGTGAGCTCAGTACTGTGTTATAGAGGTCAGTACTGTGTTAGTTAGCTCAGTGCTGTGTAGGTGAGTTCAGTGCTGAGTTGGTGAGCTCAGTGCTGTGTTAGTGAACTCAGTGCTGTGCTATAGAGGTCGGTACTGTGTTTGTGAGCTCAATGCTGTGTTAGTGAGCTCAGTGCTGTGTTAGTGAGCTCAGTGCTGTGCTATAGAGGTCGGTACTCTGTTCGTGAGCTCAGTGCTGAGTTGGTGAGCTCAGTGCTGTGTTAGTGAGGTCAGTGCTGTGTTATAGAGGTCAGTACTGTGTTCGTGAGCTCAGTGCTGTGTTAGTGAGCTCAGTGCTGTATTAGTGAGCTCAGTACTGTGTTATAGAAGTCAGTACTGTGTTAGTGAGCTCAGTGCTGTGTTAGTTAGCTCAGTGCTGTGTTTGTGAGCTCAGTACTGTGTTAGGGAGCTCAATGCTGTGTTATAGAGGTAGGTACTGTGTTAGTGAGCTCAGTGCTGTGTTAGTGAGCTCAGTGCTAGTTACAGAAGTCAGTACTGTGTTAGTGAGCTCAGTGTTGTAGTTAGTGAGCTCAGTACTGTGTTAGTGGAGCTCTATGCTGTGTTATAGAGGGAGGGTATTGTGTTAGTGAGCTCAGTGCTGTGTTAGTGAGCCTGGTGCTGTGTTATAGGAGGTCAGTGCTGTGTTACAGTGAGCTCAGTGCTGTGTTGTGTATCACAGCCTGTGTTAGGTGAGCCTAGTAAGCAGTGTTAGTGAGCTCAGTACTGTGTTAGGGAGCTCAGTATTGTGCTATAGAGGCCGGGGTACTGTGTTAGGTGTGAGCTCCAAAAGCTGTGTTAGTGAGCTCAGTGCTGTGTTAGTCAGTGCTGTCTTATTGAGGTAGTACTGTGTTAGTGAGCTCAGTGCTGTGTTAGTGAGCTCAGTGCTGTGTTAGGTCAGTACTGTGTTAGTGAGCTCAGTGCTGTGTTAGTGAGCTCAGTGCTGTGTTAGTGAGCTCTGTGGTGTGTTATAGAGGTCAGTACTGTGTTAGTGAGCTCAGTGCTGTGTTAGTGAGCTCAGTACTGTGTTAGTGAGCTCAGTGCTGTGTTATAGAGGTAGGTACTGTGTTAGTGAGCTCAGTGCTGTGTTAGTGAGCTCAGTGCTGTGTTATAGAGGTCTGTGTTAGTGAGCTCAGTGTGTGTTAGTGAGCTCAGTGCTGTGTTATAGAGGTAGGTACTGTATTAGTGAGCTCAGTGCTGTGTTATAGAGGTTAGTACTGTGTTAGTGAGCTCAGTGCTGTGTTATAGAGGTCAGTACTGTGTTAGTGAGCTCAGTGCTGTGTTAGTGAGCTCAGTGCTGTGTTATAGAGGTCGGTACTGTGTTTGTAGGTTCAGTGCTGTGTTAGTGAGCTCAGTGCTATGTTATAGAGGTCGGTACTGTGTTTGTAGGTTCAGTGCTGTGTTACGGTGATTAATCGTCTGGTAAAATAGGCTGGGGTGACTAATCTTCAGGTGATCCAGTAGAATTCTTGAAACCCACAACATAAAACTGGGGCAGCGGCGTAAAGGAGTATATACCTGGCGTTAAATGTTTTCCTAATTACTCTACCACTTTTCCTCAAGGTGTGTCTTAGTGTATAATTAAGGTTAGGTGGGGCAGGGGAGAATGAAATTAACGGTTGTGGGCCCCAGAGAGATAAGAACATAAGAATGGAGGAAACTGCAGCGGGCCTATTGGCCCATACTGGGCAGTCCCGTTTACACCCAACCCCTATTGCTCATATGAGCATCCAACCTATGTTTAAAGCAATTCAGCGTATTCGAGTTAATGATGATATTTGGTAACTTGTTCCATTCATCCACTACTCTGTTTCCAAACCAGTGTTTACCTATTTCACGCCTAAATCTAAATTTGTCTAATTTAAAACCATTGTTACGAGTTCGCTCCTGGTTGGATAGTTTGAGTACCTTTGTAATGTCCCTTGTTTAGCCCTGCCTCCTTCCACTTATACACCTCTATCAGGTCGCCCTCGCTCTACGTCCTCTCAAGGAGTGCAAATTAAGATGCTTTAACCTGTCTCTATACTCAAGGTTCCTAATGCCCGGGATTAGTCTTGTCATTCTCCTCTGAATTCTTTCCAATGATTTATATCCATTCTGTAATACGGTGACAGAACTGAACTGCGTAATCCAGGTGTGGTCTCACAAGAGCAAGATACAGTTTTAGGATGACCTCGCTAGTCTTTAACTACCTCCTTTGTATGAACCCAAGTACTTTATTAGCCTTGTTACGAGCAAAAACACATTGTTTACTTGGCTTAAGGTTCCTACTTATCATTACTCCTAAATCTCTCTCGCAGTCGGATTTCTCTATGGCATCGTTGTTCATCTGGTATCTGGTTTCCCTGTTTACATCTCCTATACTGAGTACTTTACATTTGTCGACGTTGAATTTCATCTGCCATTTTTCAGACCATTCGAAAAATTTGTTTAGATCTTCCTGTAGTTTTGCCGAGTCCTCGTCAGATTTGATAACACGTTTGAATAGATAGATAGATAGATAGATAGTGTGTGTGTGTATGTGTATGTGTGTGTGTGTGTGTGTGTGTGTGTGTGTGTGTTTTCGCAGGTGTGTGGTTGTCTGGGTGTTAGTACAGCAGGTGTGTGGTTGTCTGGGTGTTAGTACAGCAGGTGTGTGGTTGTCTGGTGATCAGAATAATCAAAATAGACCGAGATCGTCTGGTGAGTGAAGGTGGAGGCGGGTCTGGATGTCTTGAAGGGCGACCCAATCGGTCTGCTCGTACCAGTCATCGTCGGGCGGGATGCGTTCACTCATCCCGACGTCGATGAGATGACAGGTGTAAGGTGACGTGGAGGTGTCGATGATGACGTTGCCGGCGTGGAGGTCCAGGTGGCTGTAACCAGCACCGTGAAACTCGGCAAGGGCAACGCAGGTTGCGTCGTAGGCCTCCTGACGATGGTGGACTTGGTACCTGAAGTGGTGTAAGATTGTTGAGAGAGTCACACCCCGGCAGTACTGCATGACGATGGCGTGGGGATCGGTTGTGACGCCGTACAAGATAGGCGCGCCCCCCGTCCCGGCCAGCTCGTGTAGGACGCGGGCCTCCTTGGTGTTGTCCTTGCCGGAATGGAGGATCTTCACTACCACTTCAGTCACGTCCCCGTTGTCTAGGGTGAGCTGACCATGGTGGCTCACCCCGTACCTACCGGTCCCAACCTTACCCATGAGACTAAGATGGTCCCAGGTAAGCTGAGGCAGATCCCGTCCTCCACTGGAGGAGGTGGTGGAGCTGGAGGAGGTGTGGGAGCTGGAGGAGGTGTGGGGGATGGAGGAGGAGGTGGGTGTTGAGGAGGTCTTGCGGGGAATAGTAGTGACCCGGACGAGAGAAACCTGGGCTTCTTGTCCCTTGTTATCCACGATATGGTTCTTGTCCATCTCGTACAATTATATATATTTTTTTACCAATCAACTATTGAGGTAAACTCTGAATTTGAGGAGTTTTAATACTTTACTGTATATTGAGCTTGGAATATTGAACATAACTGTAGTAAGATCTATATTATCACAACTATTTCACAGTTTTAATTGTAGAAGTGGAGAGACAACTGTTAATAATGTGTTCCTTCACCTTGTACCTAAAAATTGACAATTGCATCATCTGGAATTATTTTAACATTCATCGACATACAAGGTGTCCACATTAAGATGAAGCAACTTTGAAGCCTTCTATATTTTTTGGTGTAAATGTCAGGATGTTGATTCTTGCACAGTTATCGTACCATATATCTAACTTTCTATGCTTAGTGTGTTGTGTTGTGTGTGTGTGTGTGTGTGTGTGTGTGTGTGTGTGTGTGTGTGACTGAATTATGATGACCCGCACAAGAAAAGTCGAAATGTTTTTTATGGATGGCTGAACTGAAGTCACCTACCCTGGTGCAACGACGATTCTATACAACGTTGGCAAGGAACCACCGACCCTAAGAGACTGGCAGTGTTCTAAAATAACCAGGTGGAGGAAAGCCCAAAACATCGGAGGAAGATGTTGAACAATTACATCACCTTGTCTTCCGCACGAGATTAGAGTTGATTAGTTTGGGTGAGGTTAAGTTAGGTTAGGTTAGGTTAGATTTGTAAAGAATCATTCTATTTTCGGCCATCGTGAGAGACAATGTGGCGAAATTTGTCAGTACGATCAGCCACTATCACAGTTCAGTGCAGGGCCATCAAACAGCTGGGTTTTCCCTGTTGTCCAAAATACCTTACATAACCGTCTTTATGTACTCGTGTGTATGGGAGTGTAGGCCTAGCTCAGCCCTAGCTCGTTGTTGTCTTGACAAGCTCATCTAGCATGGTGAGTACTCGTAAGCTATTTGGCTTTGAGGACATCATACTATTCTCCTCGTATGAAAGTTAAATAAAGAGACTGTTTACCTCCGTGCTGGGACACTCTGACCTTTCTTTTCTGGCGGGTTGTGGTGGACAGTGGTGTTTTGGCTTCGAGGCGAACGGCAGGAAAACTATCTTTAAATAAGAAGATCAATTTTGAGACTTCTGCTTACCATTAAACAGATTCAACTAGATTCACCCAGCAGTCGAAAAGCTACGAAGCGGGAGAAAGTTACTCTCGTTAAAGCTGTTGGAGTCGTGCCTATTAATCCATGGAGAATATCCCATAAAATACTGTTCCATTGTTCAAAATTCCAACACTAAAATATAAACTCTAGGCGTCATAGAATACAGGCACTAGAAACTTCATGTCAGATTAATATAAATGTAACAGCTATCACATCGCTGTGTGTTAGTTCTCGTTGGGCGACGTATAAAAATCTGCTTCATTGTGCAGTTATAGGACTCTCTTTATATTTTTTATGCAAGTCATATTTTAATTTTTACTCTACTTTTAATGTAAACAAATTTACATTATTAACACATACACAATAAATTTTCAATTGGATGAAACTCCTTGATGCAGAAACCCTCATTATCGCTACCACACTTGGTTATCTTTTTTCAATAAACCCACAATCAACGTCTTCAGTAAAGCTACGTTATCTTCATTACGCCCCGTTTCTCTTCTACATCGAGTCAATATCCCTTTCATTAAGTCATCGTTGCATTTTTCATTCATTCCTTGTCATCTTTAGTAAATCTATTATACTGACGCTGGTGTTTTGATTACAGAAGTGTGGGTTGTTGTTGGTGGTGGTGATAGCGGTGGCTGTGCCCGCTCTGGGCCAGGAGAGCACCACCGCGGCACCCCAATGTTCTCAAGAGATTTCCGACAAGTGCCCTCCAGTTGATGGTTCTAGTGGGTACCTGTTGTGAAGGCTCTATGTGTGTTTTTTATTTGCATCATACTAGTATATATCAATAATCCGTGTATTGTGTGTGTGCATCACACCCACCCGTGTATTTTGCATGTGCATCATATAACAGTATACCCGGTTGGACATTTGAGAATTTTGCAGAGCCTATCTGATATCGGGAGTTTTATTGTCCAGTTGAATGTTTAGTGAATACCCCAAGGTGGAAATCCTTGTAAGCCGACGATCAGTGATTTGTGTCGCATTTATATCGGTGTTCACAACTATCATACTCATAGCTCAGCTGACCCAGTTAGCCTGAAACTGTTCATTTGGTTACTTACTTGACCTGGATGAAAAAAAATAATTATGTTTGATTTACACCGTTTTCAATACAGAATCTGATTTGCACAGAGTTCTCAACAGTGCATTACAAATCTGCGTGAAATACCATTAACCAAATAAAAATGTGGAAGCATGTTAGACCCTTGTGAGAGATTAATGTCTTTGACACTTAAAACTTTGTCTCCCCCTGTTCACACACACACAAACACACACACGGTAATGAATGCCATGTTGATAAATAAGACTTATGGAAGACATCATATTCGTTCGTCTTCAGTTATTTCTGATATTTATAACTTGATTTTCTTGATTCTGAGGTCTATCTCTTGTAAATCTGTGTAGCAGATGCATTGGCCAGTCATATCTGTATGTTAAGGGTCATGGCCAAAGATCAACTAAAAGCCAAGTTTCTCAATTACTGTCCAATATCTTTCTTGTTTTAAAATCCATGACTCATAACCAACAAAACGCCCAACAACTATGTGATCTCTCTGTCTCTCTTACCAGTGCCCGAGTTCTTCTCGGACCCTGAAGACTGCGCAAGCTATTGTGAGTGCTCAGGCGGTCTGGCTTTCCAATTCCGGTGCGTGAAGTACACCCTCTACAACGACGAACTCCACCTGTGTAATTGGGAGAGCATGGTCAACTGTGATGACCGCCCGATTCTGCCCTGAGCACCAGACACAAGAACTTTCCTTCTTGGTAATATTTGTGGATTTGGATTATATTTTTGATCATATAAAGTATTTATTTTATATAACCTCTACATTATTGATAATATTCTCTGCAATTTCTCCTGTTTTCATACGGGGGCATAGACGTATGGACACAAACTAGCGCGCCTGAAAATCAGGAAGGAATGTATGTTTAGAAAACAAAATTAATGTTCTTGTTATAAACATGTTGGTTCACTAAACTTGAACTCATTGTGCTATAGAAAATTCATCTTATTAATTCTGTACAAGTGTACAGGAAATAGATATATTCCTGCATACTTTGTCTTACATTACTCACCCAATAAAACGACGTATGCTGCATGTCTTTCCCGGATTATAACTGATATGAGGGAAGCGCTGTTGAGCAAAAACCACACCTCAGTGTACAGTATACCAGGCCATTATACCCACTAAGTTATTAATCAGAGAACACTGTTAGTCCTGGTTAATGACAAGCACCTAGTAAATTAAAAACAAAGTTTCTGAGTACGAAGGGGAAGGGCAGACTCAATACAGAGCAGGCGAAGACAAACATGGACGGCGTCACGGTCGATTCTGTCGTATTAGGAAGTGTTGTGCGTAGACGTGTAGTTACTTGCTTCTGTACACAAAAGGCTGAAACTACGAGTTGAAGGAAAACATTCAAGGATGAACACGAAAATTATTGACCAAAGAGAACTCCGACGGCCAAGTTGTGTGGTTACATGAAGTACATTATATGAAAGTAAAACATTGTTTGCTGGTATTTATTTTGTGTGACGCTATGAACGTGTCTGAATATTTTTAAGTGTGTTTGTGTGTTCTTATATTTTTGTTCGTTTGTGCACCTGAACACAGAAAGATGGTTAGTTGCGCTGTTTGTTATTTGTTGACCAGACGAAACTTAAAGACAATAATGACCAATTTCGCTGGCCAAATACGGGTTTTCTTTAGTTTTCAATCATATTAGCAAAAGTGTTAATCTACAGGTCAAAAACACTACCATGCTACTCCTGGATTGACACTTTAAGCTTAAATTTATCTCCACTGCCGTGTGTTTGTTCTAACATTAAGATGGAAATCCAGTTTTCCTCCCTACGTCATTTCCCTTTCTATCGAACCACTAAGCGTTGAATTTATAATTAGCACTCGTTGATTGTTTCCTGCTAAAAGCCGACTGTTCACTGACTTGTTCCGCTATTGTCGAAGCTCAGGAGACGAGTAGACAAAATACACTCTTGCCAACAATTGTAGTTCTCGACCAATTAGGTATTATTTTAGTTATGTACAACCATCTCCTTCTCATTCTTGTTATCATATTCGGGAGCACATGTCACCTGCTCACTTTTTTTACAACCGACCCACTCTATCCGAGCGTATTCTCTCGTCCACAAAAATCGTAAAGTTACACCAAAGGGTTAACCCCCCCCCCCCTCCCATCTAGAAAGTTAGGTTAGGTTAAGTGGGTTTCTTTTGTTGGTTAGGTCAGGTTCTCTTAGGTTCATTATTATTCACTTGTGACAGAAGTAAATAGAATGAATGTTAGTCAAAATGATGAGCTCTATCTATTGCACGTGTTAAAAATCCCAGATGCCATGCTTTCATATGGCTCTGAAAAGTGGTCTTACGTTTTGACATATATTATAAGTTCTGACTCTGCCCTCCAGGGGGCCCAGAAACCAACGTGGAATCTTAGGTCTCCACCCCATGTAACGATTCTAGATTTGACAGTATACGCTGTAGGAGAATGGAAAAACGCGAGAGGCCAGGGAGTTCTGTAGACATTGAACATGATGAAAGTGTTGGGAATTTTGGAAAGTTATATCTGTAATTAGGTTTCATTACGCCACTAGGGTGTGTCATACGGAGGCGAATTTTTTTT